ATGTCTCTGAAGTACAGCTTTGTCACCCCTCTCACCTCCATGGTGGTCACCAAGCCTGAAACTGAGGATGGAACAGACAGCCCTCTCATTGCTGACAAGCTGACTGAGGGTAAGGCAGGAAAGAGAGGGTTTAAAAAGTGATACTGGACAGGTTTTTCTAAACATGGTTGCTGTCAGGCTTTTCCCTGAAAAGGAAAGCCTTATTGTAAAACAATCACAAGCAACACTGACTGCTGGATTCATGTTTTCAGCATATTATTTCTCTTTCCTCAACTGCACCAGCAGAGGGTGGTGCTCCAGTTTGAACTGTGGAATATACTAAGTTGTTTTTGTCTGTCTGTTTTTTACAGAGCAAAGACAACAGGCAGAGAGAGTGTGTAAGACAATCTTTTTTTTTTTTTTACCATATAGCATAAAAGATTCTTTTGGTATTAAATAAATTCACTGTATCGCTTTCAACTTGAATTTTATTGTTCCTGTTTCTAGCATATCGATATGTACCCCCTGCATATCACCTACCACCACCCACATATTTTGGTAAGTACATTTTTAGTTTTAGCTACATGGCTCTGGGTTTGGTAATATCAGCCTGTTGGTCAGCTGGTCTGTCAGTCGACCAAGAAATTTAGTAGCCCTTAAATATGCAAAACTTTAAGCCTTTAAAGATGTCAGGGAGTATAACATCAGTTGGCTATAAACTGTTGCTTGACAAACTGACCCAGGGAAATTTACACTGAGCATTTGACCAATGATAAAATAAAGCTTTCCTGAGAATGTTAATCCCTTAGAAGTGTCTTAATGTATCATTTTAAGAGGATATTGAGCTGGGGAACAGAGAATCCCAGGGATACAGATACGTTCCCACTCACTGTGAACATGTTAGCATGGCTGTGGACTCCTGCGACTTTACCCCTATTCTTGTTCAAATGTTTCAATCAACATGTTGAGCCAAAACTATATTTAAAACAAAATCTCATCCATTTTGTTAATTGATGTCATTATACTCTGGTGTCACCTGCAGTGGATGGAGATCCTCATTTCATGATAGAGCTTCCTGACAGACACGACGCCCTGTGCTTCAATATCAACGACATGCCAGGAACCATTTTCAACCTGGTCAGAGACCCAGAACAAGGTCAGCCCTGAGTCCTCATTATCCTCAT